ACTCGGTTTGTGTGGGTAATGCCGGTCGCTAGGAAGACCTACGTGTTGCGGGAGAAGTGGCTGGTGCAAGTGGAGCGGAAGACGAAGAAGTCGGTGCCGATTTTCCGCTCGGACCAGGGAGGGGAGTTCCTCGAAAAGGAGTTCACCAACTTCGTCGACGGGAAGGGCATCGTCCACGACCTGACGTGCCCATACACACTGCAGCAGAACGGCATGGCCGAACGGGAGATGCGGACGGCGGTCAAGTTGGTGCGGACGATGCTGCTGCACATGGGAGTGTAGCACTACTGGTGGCACCTCGCCCTACGACAGGCAGTCTAGGTGCGCAGTTGCTTGGAGCGGTCGACGACGCCGCCGGGGACAACGCCGTACCAGCTGCTGATTGGGAAGATGCCTGACCTCACCCTGGCACGGATGTGGGGCTGCATGGTGCAGTTTATGGTTCCCGAGCAGCAGCATGGTGGGAAGTTGGCGCTGAAGGCTCGCTGGGGGCTTCACCTGGGCATGTCGCCAGAGAGCAAGGGTTGGGAGATGTTGGACTTGACCGACAACAAGGTGGTCACATCGGTCGAGGTGATATTCTATGAGAAACTACCTGTCGCTGGAGGTGTGGAAGGCGAAGTACGGGCCGGCGTTGGGGCGGACGCAGGCACACCCGCTGAGGTCGACGAGCCTGCTGATGAGGACGTCGAGGAAGTCCCCCCTCCTCTCTTGCTCCTCCCAACCCCGTCGCAGATCGGCCTGCGTTGACACCAGTGTCGGCCACCGGCGATAAGGCGTCGCCAGTGGCGCCGACCCGTGGCATCGCCGGCGGCCGTTGAGACGCCAAACTCTTCGACGAGGACGTGCAGCCGTCGACGCCAAAGAAGCAGCAGACAGATAGCAGCAGACGAAGGCAGCAGCAAAAGTCCAGTCGACAGGGGAGAAGCAGACGTAGCAATCGACCGAGGAGCTGTCGATGAAAGAGAAGTCGCAGCCGATCAAAGGTCTGACGCTGGTGGAGCAGCTTGTTGACGACGAGGCGGTCGACGACGCAGAGGAACTGTCGGTAGGGGAGGAGTCCACCGACAGCGACGTGGTGGAGGTCCCGATTGAGAAGCCCGGACTGCCCGAATTTCGACGGTCGGGTCGAACGCGAAAGCCGCCTGAGCGGCTGAGCCTTTACGCCTGTCTGCCTCCAACTGCCTTCACCACGGTGTACGACGACCCCAACGACGACCTACTGCTCAACGATGCAGAAGCGGATGCTGACCTGCCCGAGCTCGACCCCGACATGCACGCCGACCCCGAGCACCGCTGGGACATCGCGACGATGACGGTGAAGGAAGCGCTATCGAGCTGGAAGGGTGAGGCAGTGAAGGCTGCCATGGACGAGGAGACCCGCAGTCTTATCAGCAACGGCACATGGGAGTCGGTCGAACGCCCGCGCGGGGTAAATATCATGAAGAACCGGTGGGTGCTGACGACCAAGTACCGCATCGACGACACTGTCGAGCGCGAGAAGGCGAGACTGGTCGTGAAGGGCTTCACGCAGGTGTACGGTGCCGACTACGACGAGACGTACTCGCCAGTGAGCAGCTACGTCACGCTGAGGATCTTCCTCATCATCGTCGCCGACATGAAGAACGCTTTCCTGCAGAGTAAGCTCGATCGGGTGCTGTACATGTATCAGCCGGATTACTTCGACAACGGGACCGGCCGGGTGTGCAAGCTGCTAAAGAGCCTCTACGGGCTGAAGCAGTCGCCGCTGCTGTGGTACAGGGCTCTCGACGACATGCCGCTGGGGGCTGGCTGGAAGAAGAGCCAGGTCGACGAGGCGCTCTACTTCAAGGTCGGCGACGACGGAGTGACCTGCTGGGTGCTGGTCTACGTCGACGACCTGCTTGCCGCCAGCAGCAGCACCGCGATGCTGAATGAGCTGAAGAAGCTGCTGGAGGCCGCCTTCCAACTGCGCGAGATGTCGCCGGTAGTGAAGTACCTCGGGCTGGAGATCGTCCGCGACAGGCCGGCGAGGAAGCTGTGGCTGCACCAGCAAGGCTACGCCAACAAGCTGCGCAGGTGTTTCATCAATGAGGAGTAGACCGGGCGCATCCCAAAGACACTGGTCTCGGTCGACGCCGAGCTGAAATTCGACAACGAGTAGGCACAGGAGCGTGAGTAGGAGGAGTACTGGCAGAAGGTCGGCTCGCTGCAGTTCGCAGCAACGACGACGAGGCCGGACATCGCCTTCGCCTGCAGCAAGCTGGGGAGCGGCCTCACAGTGAGGAGCGACCAACACTGGCGCGAGGTCGACCGCTGCCTCGCCTACCTCGCCGACACCCGCGACACCGCCTTGGAGTTCGGCAGTGGACCAGAGTCGCTACGAGGACACCGATGATGCGGGCGACAAGCAGAACCGGACGAGCACGGACGGCTACGTGTTCGTCTACGGAGGGGCCGCTGTCTCCTGGTCGAGCTCGCGCATCAAGTGCGCGACACTGTCGTCGACCGGGTCGGAATATGTGGCGGCCACAGAGGCTGGCAAGGAGGGGCGCCGACTTTGCTTCCTCCTTGCGGATTTCCAGCAGCTCGACGCTGGGAAGCCGACTGTCCTGCGAGTGGACAACAAGTCGGCCATCACGCTCGCCGAAGGCTTGGGGCTCACGGGCAACCTCAAGCACGTGGAGCGATGCTACGCCTGGTTGCAGTACATGGTGAGGCGAGGGAAATTCGTGCTGAAGTACATCCCGACCACCAAGCAACTGGCCGACTTCCTGACGAAGGCGCTGCATTTTCCGGCCTTCAACCGGTGCTCCCTCGCGATTGGCCAGGTGCGTCTGGCGGACGTCGGCGACGGAGATGATGACGTGCAGCAGTAGGTGTCGTGCCCTTCTGCACGGCTGGTGCAGTGACAACGTGCTATGGGGTGCACGCCGATGACGAGTTTTCTCCGTAGAGTACTGCTGCGTGGGTAGGGAGCCCAAGCGTGAGCGCGGCGAGGGAGTGTTAACGGGAATGGAGTGTTGGCCCTGCCCTTGATTGGGAGACGTCGACGTCCGGGTCGGGTGTACGGGAGATCACCTGATCATACGCAGTGAGTGAGCTACTCGACGGGCTTCGTCGAGCTGCAAGGGATCGCAGCGGTGTTGCCGTCGACCAGGGGAGCTCGACGACCTTCTTCTGCGGGGCAGGTCGACGAGGTGGTCGTCGACCTACACAGGACTGTCACGGGGCTTGAGCCGTCGACCAGGGAAGTTCGACGGCAGCAGCTGACTGGGCTGGTCGACGACCCGGGCAGTTCAACAGGCGTGGTGGTCGACGAGGGGTTCGTCAACCAGGGCGCCCACTGGGTGGTCGACCAGGTCGACCAGGTAACCTGCTCGGCGAGTTCTACGAAGGCATGCGAACGTTGTCGAGGTTGCAATGGCGAAGGCGACTTCGAGCTGGTATTCCAAAGTCGATGGCTCGTCAGGCGCCGACCACAGCCGACGGATGCACAACGATGCAAGTCGGGCCAATCGTCTGTGTGCACCTCTGGACGTGCGCACTGATGTTTTCTATGGGTGCAACGCTGGACAGCCGCTCTGTTGCAGCGTTGGCATACCGTCGACCTGCTGTGCTGGCAGGCTGCGTCTCTCCACTGCTGGCGCGGCTCCTCTATGCAACGCTGGCAGGCGGTCGACCATGTTGTGCTGGCGATCGACCAGGCTAGCTGAAGAGTTCCTAGGTGCCCGATGTAGTCATTCTTGTCATTGCAATCGCTATCATTCAGTAATTCCAACTAGTTACTAATATTTCTTGTAGTAACTTTGCTAGTGGAAACTCTTGCCGATTTCTCCCGTGAATGCGCAAGTGCTAAGGAACCAAGCAAAGCTACAATCACTCCTAGTAGTTCGTGCCAACCCCCGTAGTCTAGCTCACGACTATTGTAGAGTGAATCTCCGCACGGTGCGGTGAGCGTGGAACGGTCCGCAAATTAGCTTCGGACAGGAGCCGACTTTTGCACCTACCAAGTCGTTAGTAGGCCGGCAGCCGTCATAGTCGCCATGGTCGATCCCGCAGTTGAAGCGGGCGTAGCGGACACCTTGGAGGTGCATTTGGCTGATGCGAGGAAACGCCACGAGGATGGCGAGTAAGGGACGATCCCCTGGGAGGTCGACGAGCTGGGCATCCGCGCCAAGTGGGCGGCGGAACACCCCTCCCGACCTGCTTCTCCTCTACCGGTGCGTAACGAAGGTGGCGTCGACGAGGTGGTCGAGTCGGCGGCAGCGAGGGCACAAAGAAGATTGGGGTGATCAGGTCCGTCGTCGGTGGCGTCGACGCGAATCAGAGGCGAGTGTAGCGCTAGCACGGCTACTCTATGCAACGCTGGCAGGCGGTCGACCATGCTGTGCTGGCGGTCGACCAGGCTAGCTGCAGAGTTGCTAGGTGCCTGATGTAGTCATTCTTGTCATTGCAATTGCTATCATTCTGTAATTCCAACTTTGCTAGTGGAACTTGCCGATTTCTTCCGTGAATGCGCAAGCGCTAAAGAATGTAAGCAAAGCTATGATCACTCCTAGTAGTTCGTGCCAACCCCCGTAGTCTAGCTCGCGACTATTGTAGAGTGAATCTCCGCAGAGAAGATAGCAAGGTGGAGTGGCATCAGCGAGCGAGTGGATTTAGAGGTACAGCGGCAGTAGATTGTGGTACTGGATGGGAGAGGGATTGCGTTGGGCAGTGGGGGAAAGAGGAGGAGAAACGAGTGAAGAGAATGAGAGGGGGGAGAAGGTGTGGGTGGAAGCAGAGGTACGGTGTCACCAGGACGAGGGGCTATGGCAGGTGCTGTGACAGACTGAGGAGGAAAGGTAAAAAGCCCAAAAAAGAGGTGGCGAGTGCAGGTGGATGTGTGAGTCAGTGTACCCAACAACCTGCTCACCACCTTGGCGTTCATACCTGATGACACGATCAGCTGTGTCGACCAACTACCTGAGTGCTCTCAGTGCAGCGCGCATGTGAATGCGTCTTGGTGCCACGCAGGACTATGCAAGGGTGTTGACAGTGAAGGACATGTCAGGACGGGTAGTCACAGCAGCATACATCAAGCTGCCAATGAGACTCTGGTACACCTTGACATCAGCTGCACCACCTTCCTTACTCGACCAAGTACCATTCCTGATCTTAGAGAGATCATTGGGTGACATTGGAGTATGCACCCTATGTGTCTCCTTCAGCAGGTCACCAAACCTTTCCTGGAGACCACGGACATATTTATCCTGACCAATCTTCAACCACCCATCCTTGACCGATCTGCGAACCTCCACACCAAGGTACGTGGATACCTCACCTAGATCCTTCATCTGGTACCTCTGAGCAAGCACCTCCTTGACCTGACCGATCAGCTCCAAGCGTGGAGACACAAGCAAGAGGTCATCCACATACACCAATACATACACTGGCTCTTCATCCACAAACCTGATGTACAGAGCCTCATCGCATGCACTGCGGTCAAACCCTGCTGCAATCAGGGTGGTACCAATCTCCTCATTCCAAGCACAAGGCGCTTGCTTGAGCCCATAGAGAGCTTTGCGCAAGCGATACACCCTACCTGTACCATCATCAAATCCTTCAGGTTGCCTCACATACACCTCCACTTGAAGGACTGCATTGAGGTAAGCATGATCAACATCCTCCTGTTGTACATGCCACCCTTTTACCGCGGCTTCTGCAAGAAGCACCCGACCTGAGGTGAGCTTGCCCACAGGGGCAAATACCTGATCATAGTCCTTCTCGGGCTCCTGAGTGTACCCCTTAGCAACAAGGCGAACCTTGTGCTGTACCACCTTATCCTCCTTGTCAGTTTTCCTGTAGAAAACATACTTGACCCCAATGGCCTTCTTACCGGGAGGTAAGTCGACCGGCTCTGGATCCCATACACCCATAGTGCGCATTGCATTCACCTCCTTCTCAGCGCCTGCCTTCCACGCAGGACCCTCAGGGCCACGCAGTTCCTTAGCGAGTGTGCGTGGGACATCACCGGTGCTCACACCTGCGAGGGCAACACCCTCCACCTCCCTGGCCAAACACATCATGCCCTCAACCGCACCAGCATCCCCCCCTACCTCCTCACCACCTGGACCAGACTGGATACCAAGCACCTGCAAACCCGTAATTGGTGGTGGGGAGGTAGTCGCTGGTGACGTAGGTGCGCTCGTAGAGAGAGTGAAAGAGCTCTGGCCAGAGGAGGAGGAGGAGGAGGAAGAAGTTTGGGTAGCGGATCTCCGTTGACTGACCGAGGGGCCACTGAGCGGCTGCAGAGGGGAGGGCTTCTGCTGCACCGACACACTCAGCGGTGCTGGTGGCAGTGATGAAGGTGGCATCTCAGCATCGTCAACCGCTGCTGAGGGTGGCGAGAGTGGAAGAGGGAGGAGCTGGGAAATCTCAGCTGCATCCTGCAGAAGCTCCCCAAATCCCTTTGCCTTGTCCCAATCCTTCCACATCACATTCTCAAGAAAATCAACATCCCGAGCAATGCGAATGCGCATGAGAGAAGGGTCCAGCATGCGCCAACCCTTGCTCTCCATGTCCACCCCAACACAGACACACATGACAGCGCGTGCATCAAGCTTGCCACCCTTCTCATGCCCATGCAGCATGACACTCCCCATGCAAACCCAAATCCGAGCCATGCCCACATGCGGCTTCTGGCCGGACCACGCCTCCATTGGTGTGATGGAGGCAGGCAAAGCACTGTGGGTGACCTTGTTCTTAACCCACACGACCCACATCAATGCTTCACCCCACAAGCGAGCAGGGAGACCACTGTCAACCAACAATGTGCGAATCCCCTCTGCCATCGTCCTGTGCCACCTCTCCACGACCCCATTCTGTTGCGGCGTATCTGCGACACTCAATTGGGTTTTGATGCCAAGCTCCGCCTTCCATGCTTTTACAGCTTCCCCCAAAAACTCGCCACCCTTGTCTGAGCGAACAACCTTCAGCTTCCGCCCACACTCCAACTTCACGTCCTTATGCAACTCGCGAATGACTTTTGCGACTGTGGTTGATTCCTTGTTGGGGAGTGGGAACGACCAAACTCGTCTGGTGAAGTCGTCAATGAGACTGAGAGCATACACCGCTCCTCCCAGTGACGGTGTGCGCACTGGCCCCCACAAATCCATGTGGACCTCATCCAAAGGCCCAAGTGCTCGAGACGCCTCATGGGGAAACGGCTTCCGAGCCGACTTTCCCAATAAGCAAGGCTCACATGGGGAGCAATCAGTGCTCCCCCCCCAAATCTCCAAGCCCAGTACACTGTTCTCCCGAGCCATCTGTTGCAATGTTGTGGGGGCGGTATGACCAAGGCGGCGATGCGCAAGGGTCAATGGGGAAAATGAGGAGGAGGACCCAGCTGCTAGAGCACTGCCTTGTGTGCCCCGAGCAAGAGGAAGAGACATCCGCACCAATCCATGGTCCCTTCCCCTCTCCTTCTCTCCAATCGCCAGCACCCTCTCCCCCCGTTTAAGAACGCATTTCTTGCCCTTGAATGTGACAATGACATCTCGAGAGGTGAGGTGTGGGACTGACAGCAGACGCGTGTGCATCTCAGGCACAAGGTGGACCTTTTGAATCCTCAACAGCTGACCTCTAGCACCAACCACTGGCACCTCACCCATGCCAACAGCTTTCACCACCCGTCCATCTCCCAATCTAACTCCCCGAACCTCTGGTGGCTGAAGCTTACTTTTGAAGTCTGATGCATAAGGAGTAAAGTTGTGGCTGGCCCCACTGTCAATCCACCACCCCTCTCGCGGCTGCTCCTCTCCCACTGCTGCAACTGCCTCTCCAACCACTGCCTCTGCCTTGTCATCCTGCTCCTCCTCATCCGCCACCTGTGCCTTGCCGTTGGACCCACGACACCCCCGCTGGAATGCTGGAATGCCTCCCTTAGGTCGATGAGGACATCGCTGCCATGCATGTCCCTCATCCCAACAGCCATGACACAACCCCCGAGGAGCCATGCCCTTGGACCCCCAGGGGAAATCAAGCACTCCCGCTTTGCCTTTCCCTTGACCCCATCTGCCCGAGTTGGTGTCACTGCTGCTACCGCTGCCTCCATGCTTTCCTCCCTTGTCCCAATTTCCCCTGCCGCTGCTGCCCACTTTCGAACCTGCTCCAAAAGTGGCTACACCATCCGATCTTGGTGCGACACCAATCCGCATCTCCTCGCTCCTCAAGGAGGTAAGCAGCTGATCCTTAGTGAGCGATGATGACTGGTTGTTCAGCACCACCTTCAGCATCTCATAGTGAGAAGGTAGTCCTTTGAGTACCCTCATCATCCACTCCTCAACCTCGCCAAGTACTTGGACCTCAAGTCCTTGGCACGCGCCCAGTATGCAGCCACTCCCTCCCCCTCTTTCATCTTCAATGAGGAGAGCTCCTCAGAGAGTGCCATCCGATTACACAATCCACGCTGAAGGTAGAACTCCTTCACTCGTGTATATGCCGCTGCTGTGCCTGCAGGAACCCGGGTGACGGCTCTTGCTCCGCCATCAACAGGTGGGCTGCCCAACTCGGTCTTGCCGCCGAACTCCCGTACCAAGCGAATCAGCTCATCTGGCACCAAGGCTTTGCAAAAGTGGGCGAATGCCTTCTGATTTTTCCTCTCCCACTTCAGCCGTGCATCACCCGTTGCAGGTCGCTCCTCCGAGCCATCAAAGTACCCCCATAGATCGTGCGTCTCTGCCCATTGTTCGAATCGGAAGCTCCAAGTCCAATAGTCGCTCCCGTCAAACTTTGACGCACTTTCCAGCTTCCCTTCGCCTGAGTCGTGATCCATTTGTGGCGCAGGCACTGAAGATTGACGTTCTGGTGGTGATGGAGGCAACGGCGGCGGCGGTGAAGACGATGCGGGTAGATTCACCCCCACTTGGTTTTTGGAGCGTAATTCCGCCCTCGAACCTCGGAATGATAAGCCGTTTAGTTCTGATGAATCGTCGCTCTGAGCTTGTTCCAATGGTATATCGCGCTCTGGGATCCCACGTCCGAGCTATCCGCTTAAACTTGTCGAAGTTGGCCGAGTTTCCGTCGACGAAGACTCAACCGCTTCGCCCGATTTTTGGCTTGTTGGATGCGCCCTGATGTCCTCTCTTGGCGCCCGCCCTCCAATTTCTTTTCCGCGCTTTGAATCATCCCCGATTCGCGATTTTCCAATTCGGCTGCCGGCAGTTTTTCGCGAATTGCGTCCGATCCGTTCGTCGATTGGTGAAACCCCGGGGCAATTGTTGTAGATCGTGCTGAGGTCTTTCCAACGGTATGCTGCTCGTCTTGATCGGCCAAAGTTGACTGAGCGCCTCCGTGAATGGATGTCGCCCTTGTCGTCCTCCCGAACGGATCCACTCGATTTCCAGCAGTTTTCTTCTCTCCTCCTCCCCTCCCACGTCCAGAGTCCGCCACAGTGCAATTTCGGCAGCCCTTCGGGAGGGATGGAAGCTAAATAACTTCCACCAAGATATTATGGTCCGATGTCTTGAGTAATTCCTATTCCAACAGATTGCTAGGCCTTCCTAGCTCTGACACCATGTTAGAATGGTCTAAGCTACTAGCGGAAGCTATAGTAGTCTTAGAACCTCCTCCTGAGGCCCAGGAATCATAGGAGTCAACTTGGGCATGAACCATGCTAGAATCAAAGAGGTTTCCAAAAGTGTTGTTCCAACAAGAGAGAACCTGAACGTATAGGGTTTGGGAGGTGGTCCACTCTTAAGAGTGTACACCACAAGTTCACACTACTACAGTGTAGATCTGCCACTATATATGTTTATTGGAGCAACCCGAATTAGCCTTAATTCCAACATACAGTATCCCGTATTTTGTACGCCCAGCCAATGCAATAAACCAAAATAGCATTTCATTTTATTAATTTAATAATGCAAGAATTCTAATAAAAGGGCTACATCTAGTACAGCATGCTCACACGCATGCATGCACACGGACAACAAGCCGAGTGCAAACCATAGGGTTGCACCAACAGCATCTAAGCTAGGCGGGTACAGGAGAAGCTGCGTCACTTGGGGCCGCACTCATAAGGGTTGTAGCCGGCACTACGGTTTTATGCATGCATGGCTGAGACCTTTGGGCTGCTGAGAGAGCCGTTGCATCATTGTTTGGGGCTCTGCGTGAATTATAATTTTTAAACACACATGTAGTGTTTTTTAAAATTGTGTATTGTGAAAGCGAAGCTGCTTGTACTGCACAATTGGCATCGTCGAAGCGCGCTAAACGCCCTTCTCCAACTACAAAAACCGTGGGTTGGAGCTCATTTCCCTCCACCCACGTTTCTCAATTTTCAAACGGCTCACTCAACATTTCCGCTCGAGTAGTTTTTCCCTCCAAGCTGGCTAGGATTAAATCGCTTCCTAGAGGCGAGTCACCCTCTACTTTACTCAGCGACATTTTCAACTTCAATCGCTCAACGATGGCACCTACGCCGACACTTAACAACGGGAACTCGTCAACCCCCGCTTCCGACTCCGACCGTAACGCCCGCGATTCTGCGGGCGAACGCCGTAACAAGCGTCGGGCAGAAGACGGACCGTCCGCCCCGACTGCAGTGGACGTGCTGCTGGGCGGGCTCGAGGTCAACAAAAACGCCGAAACCCAGCAGCACCCTTCGGTCCCTGTGGCGCCTGTGGCGCCAGTGGCACCTGTGGCGCAAGTGGCGACGGGGGCTGGCGCGGCACACGCGACTGACGCCGAGCACACGCCAGCACCCGCTGCTGGACCGTCGCGTCAGCGCCAGAGGAGGCGGACTGCAGTCTCCTCGTCTGACGCGACCGCCGCCCCTGCGCTGACGCAGGCGTTGACCCCGGACCAGGTCAACGCGCTGCTGTCCCTTCTACAGCAGCAACCCGTCAGCGTTACAGCCGCGGAAACTGCACTACCCGCCGCATCTGCGTCGGCTAAAAAAGAAACTGCAAAAAAGGAAAAAGGCACGCGAGGAGCACGGACGAACCGGCATGATAACGACGCAGCGACCGCCGCTCCCCCTGCTCCAGCGGTCGACAACGACACCGACGACTCTGAAGATGAAGCCGGTGAGGCTCCCGTCAACAATGCTAATTTTATTGGCACGGAACACCTCCCCCCCCTCCCTTCTTCTAACCTTACCTTCTCGGCGGCAACCTTCGTCAACGACTCCGTGCGAGAGCAAGCGGAGCTGCTGGAGGACCTGCGGGCGTACCTGCTGCACGCCGAATACAAGGCGCAGCGCGGCGATCCGGCGGGCGGACTCGAACTCATCTCACACGCTCTCAACCTCATCGCGGGGCGTTTCGAGGTGCTTCAAGTGGAGGACGCCTCCGACTTCCGCACGGCGAAGCGCTTCAAGCTGTACCAGCAGAAGAGCCTGCTGACTTCTCGACCCTTCAAGCAGGCAGTCGCGGACATGGCGGCGATGGACCGTGCGGCAAGCGGATACGCTCGTGTCAACCGCGGCGGAAACAACGGGCCGATGCCGTTCTTACCCAAGCGAGGCCCCCCGCCCACGGCCAATTGCCGTGGGTTCCGAGGCTCATGCTTCCGCTGCGGCCAGCCGGGCCACGTGGCAAGTGCCTGCCCTCGGAACGGGCATGGCGGCCAGGGACCCGCTCCGGTGGTGTAGGAGCGGGCCATGGGACTAGGCGCTTGGGCGCTAGGCACGGTGCACTCTTGAGTGCGAAGACCGTGGGCAACCCTAGGGGTTTGCGATGGCAAGAGGCCAGCCCTAGTAAAGGGTGGGATAGGCTTTGGGCCTAGGAGAGGGAAGGGGAACAACAACCCCTCGGTCCCATATGTTTGGCCACTTGGTGGCATGATGCATGCTAGGAAAGCATTGCTATGTGTGTTGGTTGATTTAATAAAAACTACCTTCCTAAAGGCCTATGGTTTTGGCAAAGAGACTATGAAAATCAAGAGGAGGAGGAGAGAGAGAGAGAGAGAGAGAGAGAGAGAGCGAGAGAGAGAGAGAGAGAGAGAGAGAGAGAGAGAGAGAGAGAGAGAAGAGAGAATGAGAGAAAGCACAATGGACAACGGTGTCCATGGCCCTAGGCATCAGCCCCCACGCACTAAGGGCAGGCACAACCGTCCTACCAAGTGGACGACGGGACAAAAAAAAAAAAAAAAAAAAAAAAAGAGGAAACGAGGAGAAGAAGAGACATGCGTTGACATGCGTTAACACTCCCGACACATTCGTTGACATTTCATTCAATGGTTAATTCTCGTCACACCTTCGATCAATGGTTGCCCGTACATGTACATGCACACGCATGCTTTAACATGGAATACTCAACCCTTATACCACTTGGCCTCACATGTACAGGAGCACGACGGTGCGAGGCGGCATGCTACGACGATCCGTACGAATTTGCCGTTACAGACAGAACTATTACACACATGCGCGGTCGTCTCCGCGCGACATTTGCGTGGTGGAGCTCATGGTGCCCCAGCAGCCTTGTCCTCTCCGTCATCGCCAAGGGTTACTGGTTGCCATGGAGCCACGGCCCACCGCAACATTTCCACGATCGCAATCATGTCGGGGCAAACACGCATGCCACGTTCACACGTACCGCCATCCAAGAACTCATAGAGACGGGAGCGGCAATTCCGATGGCCGCAACGGAGCTTACGTGCATAAGTCCACTCAACCCATTTGTAATGAGAACGATGCCAATTGATAAGAAAGAAAGCAAGCTTTCTCAATGGATAGCACAACGGATGAGGGATTTGGGAAGGGGAGATGACGGATCGGCATGGATATTTGAGATATGACTCACTACACGTCTCTTCGCGACACTGCAGTGCGCGCAGACTCAATGCGTTATGCAGCATGCGCTGCGGCAGTTGAGGGATCCGACGACGGGTGGATTATTGCACCTGTCCCACTGGGTGCACGGAACTGTACCTGGCACCACATCACAGGGTGCTTCGAGAGTGTTGCCGATATGCAATGTATTTATGATGCATATGTGTAGAAACTTTGGTGCATGTGCTTGAAATGCTATGCCCACGTTATTGTGCGAGTTGCTGTCGTGTTTGGTTCATTTGTGCTTCCTTCTTCGTACTCTCTTTCGCTCTCTCCTCTCCTCTACCCACCTCCCTTTTTCATTTCCCTTCTTCTATCCTTCTCTTCTCTTCCTACCACTCTCTTCTTTTCCCTACTATATCTTAGCACTCCTTGATCCTTTCTTCTTCGACTTTCTTTCCCCTATTTCCTAACCATATATGTATATATGTATATATTTGTATACATATATACCGTCTCCATGCAAAAATTTCTTCTCTTTGGAAAACGCTTATATTC